TTTCACATCTAAACGAAGGTCATTAACATTTTTTCTGAGTAAAGTTTTGTTACTCTCTTCAAACAACTAAAAAAAAGTCATCTATAATTTACCAGCATCAGAACTGAGCCCAAAGAAAGTCGAAGGGTTTTCTTGTAAAATCTATAAACTTAATTATTTTGCATCAAATATTCAGTTGCCAGTACCTTCCAATAAAACGTTAGAAAAAGCGCCGTTTTTCTATTTAGAGACAGTGCTGTTTAGAAATATTGACCTAAGAGTGAAGAAAGTCCAGTTTCCAAGAGTTTTCCAATTAAATGATTATAAACTTTCGCTTTTTCAGTTCGGGAAAATATTTGAAAAGGTTCGGGGCACAATTGAAAAGGTGTGTTCACACGAGCCACTTCAGGGTCTGTCGCTATATATTAAATGTAATCTTAAAGGAATGGCTCTGTTTCATCTTCAAAATTAGTGGCTGAGTTTGTCTACATTAAGGGATGGATATTTGATTCCCTAATGTTAATAATTCTATGAAATGAACTTTACAAGCCAGAGGAGAAATCTGTTGATAGACAAATGCATCATCAAGAACATTAGGTTCTATATGGTATAAACTATAAATCGTCACTTTTTGATGAAAGATACTGTAATTATATTTTATTTAATGTTGTCTTTGTTTGTTCAGCGGACATTTTCAAACTTGGCACCTTGATGCACCACCACTTTGGACGAAGTTGCTCAGTATAACGGTCAAAATTTGACATTCAGCCTTTAATCCCCACTGAGCATTTCTTAAGAAGCATGTTGACTATGCTGTACAAAAGATTTTTATGACCCAAATAAAGTTCGCGCTACATTCGATTCATTTCTATCACCTCAAAATAAATTTCTGCTCCACTCTAAGGCCTATACTGACATTCTATCATCGCGGAGTGCAAGGCTCTGTCCTCACGCGAAACCCCACACCCAAGTTAATGCAAACGATCGTATATGTAAAATATGTATAAGGGACTTCTCATATTTTATGACGATTTGGTCCCCTAATAAAACGTGTTGGTTTGTCGTAAACCAACACTTCCCGCAAAGGCAGGACTGCGTTTCTAACAGGCTGGAAAAACAAAAATCCAACACTACCGTGACTGGTCGGATTCGTGCTCTCTTGTGCTCGTTGGTGCACCAACGATAGAGGAAGGGGCGTGGCCTAGGCCATTTACTGATTGCGACTGCCAGCGGATACGCCACGGCTGACATTATAAAGATTAAAGGTCGAAGCAAAAGGGGTTTTTGCCTTCCCTTCAGGAACACGTTCACAAACCTTACAAGCCTTCACAAACCTTATTGAAAGTCCCTCGAATAAAACCAAAATTGCCACTTCAAAATTATCTCCTGACGTTGTCGTGCATATTGCCAACTCGGAATCCCAATTCTAAATAATTTTCAGATTATTCAGAGTTTACGAGTTACGAAACCTCAAAATTATCGAACTCATAAGATCAAGTCTCATTCATCATATCTCATAATCCCACTCGATGAAAATCAGTCCTGCAATAATTATTCGACCATTGAATTTAGTTATCCTTTTTAAAACCTCTTTAAAAGCAGAATTTTGTCACGTCTTTTATTACGAATTGATAATATTTCTCAATTTTTTTTCATATTTCTCAATCAAGAACCAATGAATTATCGAAACGTACTTGTAAAACCTACACAAATTAGTTAGCTCTCGCCTGAACAAGATACAACTTATCCCGCATCAACTATATGTATAGAAGTTATCCGCAATATTGAATTTCGTGATATTATATATCATTGCGGGGGGGGGCTAGCAGCAATGCATCTGCAGGAACCTGTTTCTATTGTGAACCAGTTCCGGCGAGAATGATTTCACAACCTCGAGCATTTATTGTAAATTATAGAAGACTGGGGGAAATTGAATATTTGGATACAAAACTCTTTGGCGTGGACAGTCAGAGGCAAACACAAGTAGAAGGAGTTAAAGCTTCTTTTGAAAATCAGCATGAACATATTTTGTTTCAAAGATCATGCTTTGAAGCTTCGACAAAATAAGTGGCATATAAAATCATATATGGCATGTTGGCTAGGACAGGGTGGGTTTGTAGGATGGGTTTCAACGTCAGCCCATTAAAACCAAATGGATTTTTTGCGTTAATTTAAGACTTGAGCATACCGCAGTGCTATGGATAATTTTGAACGAAAACAACGACACAAAGCGAAAGAAATATTAACAGTTATGTAAACATACAAACATATGTAAGTGAAGTAGTTATAGGTTCTTTCATTTTGTGCATGGTTAGTTGGCAAAAAAGAAAAAAGTTAGAAATGTTTACTTCACGCCAATGGTCATTTCGGGCCTTGATATTAAGAGGGACTAAAGGGTGGATGACAAACTTTCGATAATAAGCAACATTTGCAAGAATTATGTCAAATTTGGAAGCAATCGGTTAGCACGCTTAGAAAATATTTATTAAATATAAATCTACAAATCCAAATTCAAGTCCCTGTTGCTCGGTAATTTTGGAGATTCTGGAAAACTGCTATATGAACTTAAGGCATTCAGTTTTTATATGAAGGAGTGAGACGCAAACCGATGCAGGTGACATTGAAAAAAATCGAAATAAGTGAAAATTGTTCCATATGAAGTTTGCGTTTTGTTTGTAGTAAAAAGAGTCAAGTAGGTTTTCATGATCTAGGCGAAAAAACTTGTTACAGGTTAATCAAAATATCTTCGAGTCAAGAGGATTCAAGCACATTTGAGTCCTATTTCCACCAACCAAAACGTGAATGTATTTCATGTTTTACCAGTATGGCTATGAAAATCGCGAAAAATGAACGGAACTTTGCTTCGATCTTCAAAAAACTATTCTTACACCGATTTTCACTAACAAAAAGTTTTATTATCTGAGATAAAAGTGGACATATAATTTCAGCTTGTTTGATATGGTTACAGGAAAATAATACACGTGAGTTTGGAATGCAGCGTTCTTAAGCAGGCACTCGAGAACAAGGTTAAAATAGTTAATTAAATCATTTTTTATGATTTGTTAATGATCTGCCTGAAACGGTTGAACAGCTAGAGCGACTTGTGAGGTGTTAAGAATAAAAACAAAAATATAACGTAATTACGTTTTTAGTACAGTGCTTAAGCGTGAAAATCACAGATGATAAATTATTTTGAATTCGGGGATTCTTAGGTTTATGGAATGTTGAAACAGAAATAAAATGTGCATAATTTTATTGCTGATCATTGATCAGATATAATTCGAGGGTCGTCCAAAAACTGTCAGGTGGTTAATTTGATAGCAAGTGATTTTGTAAGTTTGCATATTTTACACTCTATTACGAAAAACCCCAAAAAAACCTTGAAACGGATTGAAGTCTCTCGATGTCGATATGGCAAAGCTATTTTTTTCTATTTTTATATAAACCAAGCACAAACGATATATTTCCTTAAATTTAAAATGAGAAAATTTCCATTCTTCAAACAGTAGGCTGAATGAGAAGACTTTCGATTTAAGCAAAGTACTTGATGAAAATTTTTTAAAGATTCCCAAAGAAAAAAATTACAATTTGATCCAACTTTTACTTACTGCTATTCAATAGAGCCAAGTACTATTAATCTTTGAAGCATTAAACAAAAATTTTAAAAACAATCCATAGCATAAAAAACTCTCAAAGTCATTGAATACGCAGATGAAAACCTCAAGATGTAGTAGAAATTATTTTTTTAACTTGAACTCAAATGAATATTTTTTTATTCGTTTGCCTGCTTTATTTTAGTTTAATAAGATTAAGATTAAGACATTGTCGATAAGTAGTGAACTTTAAACTATTTTTCTTAGAGGCGAAAAAAGTTAGGTGCGTTTCAATTTTTAAATGTGGTTTAATTAATTAAATTCAATTTGTTTGCCATATTTCATAAGCTCTAAACTTTAAAGACAATTTTCTCATTTTTTTAAATTTATAACTGGTACCATCTCAACCCTATCAGAATATAGAATCACTCCTGTAATTTTTGTGCATCATTTGCGGACACCCTATATATCAACTTTATGTAAATCTCAGGTGGTGTCTGGCCGATCAATTTTAATAGTAAAATATGCAAAAAAGCGCCTATCGAACGCATTAAAATACAACCGCATAAACAAGCGTGTTTTAATGCACGTCAAATGTAGAATGTTGGTAGGCGAGAGAATAATAGATGCATTGGGAATCTGAAGTGCTTTATTTACATCAAAATGTTTGTATTCGTTTTTTCATATTTTTCCGGGCATTACAACAAGAGCATACATTTTTCTCGTTTGCAGAGATTTGATTACGTTGGGTTTCTAATAAATAGTTTAAAACGTTAATTTGTTTTTCTCGGGAGAGGTCAGTACATGGGGAAAGCGCAATGTTCAATTGCAGGATGGTCTATTTCCACATTATTGTAGGTAGAATTTGTAATTGGTGCCCATGAAACCTGTTTGCAGTTAGAAATATTCGCAGTGGTTTGTAAGCAATAAAAAGTTTGCAAAAGAAGTCCGAGATTCCTTGAAATTCAACATCTTATACAAAGTAAGGAAAAGTACCTTTACCCAAAGTTCGACAACTTAGCCAATATTACATTACTGTACTCGAGCTAATTTTAATTCAGTTATTATCTCAAAGCTATTTCACCTTATGTAATTAGTACTTGTCAACTTATCAAAAATTAGCTGGTCCTACATACCTATAGCATAAATTGTAAGGATTATGTAGTCAATGTCTGGATATAACGAGTTTAAACATGCTGTTTTTAGTTTAGTTTAGTTAAAATGAACGCACCTGAATTATTAGAACTTTTCCCTGAATTATTAGAATTTATTTTTAATAAATTAAAATGAGGACAAAATGTACAGTCGAAAATTCTCAAAAATATATATGCACTGAAATCATTATACAAGAATGCATTTATCAATACAACGTAGATCAATTGAAATTATTACAAAAAAATAGAATTTCTTAAAAATTATTCAACTTACCGTTTAATAACAAAACTTACACTGACAATTTAGCGCGATAATTTGTTATTACAAAAGAGGTCTTTCCACGGTCAACCCGCGAAGTGAACTGTGATCAGGAAAGCGAGAGTGGAAATAAACAAATATATGATAACGAATTATTTTCTGAAACTAGCAAACGATGTTCTGTGCTGTTAATTCATCATTGAAAAAAAATGTGGAGGGAAGCCACCAATATTTGTTTTGATATGTAAATCACTCATTTGAATCGTTAAACAACCACAATAAAACCGATAATATCTATTATAGTTTTTATTTGCATATGAGAGCTGCGTAAATAATTATGATGCTTTAATTTAATTATTAATATCCCAATGATTCAATGTGTCATTAAGGATTGATTTTGGTTGAGTTTTATTAAAATTATTTGCGCAAAGTGATTAAAAATTTTCGCTTTTCTTCTAGACGGATTTTATCGGGGTATTTAGGAATATTTAGATATAGGTACAACTGAAAAGTGAGGTAATCGCAAACAAAATAAGTCCTAAATTTGGCAACAATATTTTCGTTATTAAATCTTAAGTAAAGCTTTTGCAATTTGATACTAAGATTCAAATACAAATCTTTTGCAACCATTATTTGATACGCAACCTTTAAAGGTTTTTGTTCAACCGTGATAAATCTTGGTTTTGTTTGTCAAATTCAAAATGGGTTTAATCGTTACGTGTGAGCGAATATCTACTGCTCCGACTTTAACATTCGAGAGTTTAATTGAAGGCTTAGTTTCACGGTCTTTGCTACGTTTACTTCTTCAGCAGAATTAATTTGCTTGCAATAATCAGTGGTTCCACGTGTCGATCATAGGCCTGGGTAACACTGTGTTGAATTGCGCTATTAAAGCTTATTAAAGCTTTACGAGATTGGAATTTTCACATCTAAAAAAAGATCATTAACATTTTTTCTGAGTAACGTTTTACTACTTTGTTCAAACAACTGAAAAAAGGCATTTAGATTTTTCCAGCAACAGAACTGAGTCCAAAGAAAGTCGACGAGTTTTCTTGTAAACTCGTTCTCTTCATTTTCTTGCATAAAAGATTCAGTTTGCCAATATTTCACAGTAAAACGTTAGAAAAAACGCGGGTTTTCTGTTTAGAGACAGTGTTGTTTACAAATATTGACCTACAAGTGAAGAAACTCCAGTTTCCAAGGGTTTTCAAAATTAATGATTATAAACTTTCGCTTTTTCAGTTCGGGGAAATATTTTTGGAAAAAGACTAATTATTAGAGTTTTTTCCTAATTTAAAGCAGACGAGTGTTCCAATAAAATGTATCTTCTAATTTTTCACAGAAAATTCCTGAAAATTATCAGTATTTTAAGTAAAACTGAAAAATAATACGATTTTTGCGTAGAAAAAATGCTTAATAGAAACTTTGTTAAAACTGGAATGACCTGAAAAATAAAGAAACTTTAAAAATCTTCTGAGCAATGAGGGCGGCGAATTTTCCAAATATTTTTTTGTAAACTTTTGCTCTGGTCGTTTTTTCAAGATAATCCTAATATTTTTCGGAAAAATACTGAATATATATAAAGGGTGAGAAATCCCGCGTACAGAAAAATTCAAGAAATTGACTATATATTAACAATATTAATTACTTCAATGTAGCTACAGATATTTTACTTTGCTGCTTTAACATGAATGGCTGTAAGTCAGACTGAGTTTGCATGTCTCCAACCAAGTAATCATAATTAAGTGTATATCCTGACCAAGATAATAATAATACATTTTCAGTTGTTTAGTCTTCATTGGCTTCAAGTATGAAAATACTACATAACAACACAATGAAACAATAACAGATACAGGGTGTCCCTGAAAGAACTGTACAACGCTTCACCACAAATTCCTTAACCGAAATTAAGGCGATCTAAGCAAACTTACTTATGTCATATCTAATGTTGCTTCCGTTTGCAGCTACAGGTCGCCAATAATAAGACTTAAACAAATTACTTCATATATACATTTGACAAACCGATAGGTTTTACTGTTTCTGCTGTTGAGCGAAGTTGAACCGGAGTTTACCGTAAATCTAGTATTTTTTGTGTCTCTAAAATGGAACATTATTCTATCGCTGATAAAGTTGACATTCATCTAGTGTATGGATTATCTGTAGGAAATGGACGTATGAGTGTCAGAGTTTATAGTAAAAAATCCAAACCGCAAAAATTCGCAACCATCAAGCATTCGCGAATATTTTTTATCGCAAAAATTTTAAATGAAACATCTTAATAGATGTATCGGAAGAGGCAACGATGCACCCATAAATTGGCCACTACGATCGCCCGACTTAACGCCGCTAGTTTTTTTTCTGTGGAGCTCACTTAAATCAAAACTGTTCGCTCTGCCCGTCGCCACAGAAGCCGAGTTACTGGAAACAATTTTCTATGCTGCAGATTATTTTAAAAGCAAGCGCAACACGATTTGCACATTCCATTTTAGTTTTTTGAAAATAATTAATTTGTGTTCAAGTACCATGTTTATTCAAATCCATCTTTACCTATATGCGAACCGCAGGCAATCACACCATGTAATTTTTCAACGACGGTTCATACGATTGGGGCAGACCCGACAACTTCGTCCTAAGAATTAAGCTGTTAAAAAATTATAACTGTGGAACAAGTAGAAAGAATCTTAGTGTAGCTAACAGAAAATACATAAAATTAAGCTGTAGACGCTTACGACTGGCCACAGCCAAAACATATTCGTAATGAAGAACTGCATCCATATCATTTTACCCTCCTTCAGAATTTGTTGCCACTCGGTGACCTGCTAGATTAATTTTTTTAACACTTTATTTGAACAATTAGTCAGTTTTTTTACGTCAGTTGATGCTACATTTGTTTATATGCTATTGTCTACCATTTTTACATCACGTGGTGTTTAAGAGGATAATGGGAAGAATAATCAAATTTAAGATCAAGACTCGCCTTCGATTAGAGAATGAGATTTTTATAAGTTTTCAGTAATGTCTAGTGTTAAGTTGGACCATATGCATTACCAGCTTGTCTAAATGCTCGGGATTCAGATTCGAGATCAGATTTTGGGGGGAAACAGCTTAACATACTTGATGCCTGATATTGCACTAGATAAACCGCAAACTATCAGCTTTAATCATAATGGCGCGCCAACTCTTATTGGTTCCAATTTTGCCCGATTGAAGCTCTCATTTTATTCCCTTTTTTTACTTTTGGGGCCGCGTAACAGGCCTGGTTAATCAAAAATAAATTGAGTTGCCCGGGGACTCTGAACAAAAAGTTTTCACCAGAGTTAATGCCATAAGGGACCAAGAAGGTATTTTATTTCGAGTGAGGTAATACTTAAATAATTAAGGCAGTAATATGAGCAAGTGCAAATAATTAATAATTTCTTTGAAAAAAAAATATTGATAATCAAGACCCAGCTGGGAAATGTTGTTGGCTTTCCAGATTTAAGAAAAAATTTTATTAAACCGTTTTCTTACGAATTGGGGCGAAAGATGACATCCTAGCGGAAAACGTTCAATGGGAGAGTTGTAGATAATAAAAATCTAAAACTTTTGTAGTTAACACTTTTTGACATCACTTACAATTAACCATCAGAATGGCGAACAACCGATTTTTCAGCATTATATTTTTTTCTCACGCATAAATCATTTCAATTACGTGAAACTGTGTAAAAGTATGTCCTTTTTTGTGTTGATTAAGGATGATTTTTTTGCAGTTCAGAAGACGACTAGCATTTATATTATGTACATTATTCGAAAACACTACGCTTAACTTGCACAAATAATTGTCTTGATTTTTTTGGATTTCGAAAGTGTTTAAGAGGGATTTTTAATTGTTGAAATGTCTACCTTAAAACGGTCGATGTGACTTGGTGGTTTATTTATCGTTAAACAGCTAAATGTACTAATCAAATTGGAACTGGTTGACGTTGAATCACTAATTTACAACAAACAAGTATGTCTTTTTACACAAAAAAAATATGTTTAGTAAACACGATATTGAAAATTTCGAAAGATTTCCAATGAAATTTTTTGCTGAAAAATAACCAAACAGCATAGTGTGCTTTAGCAGATGCCACTAATCCAACTTGAAAAACATCAGTCCAAACTGTACTTATGGGCTAAATTTAAAATAAAACGCTTCGTATTCAAGCAATATTTTACTAAGGCATATTTGGTTAAATTGTAGATATTATTTTAACATATCCATTTCTGTGACAAATTCAGTGGGAACCACCCGGTAATTTTTAAAACAATAAATTAATTTCCTAAAAAAATTACAACTATTGCCACAGAAAAACAATAATAGTATTGACAAAATATAAACACATTATCAGTTCAAATCATTCAAGGATTATTGCATAAAAGCAGCGAAATAAGACTGCGAGCCACACAAAACAATTTACGAATCACGTGATACTTAAGTAATTAAAAATAAATAAATAATTTATGGCACAAATAACCATCGAAACTATTATCGAATTTTACTTTTCTTTCTTTGTGCTTGTATTGCGATTATTATCAAACTTACTTACCTAACGATTCAAAATTTGTTAAACAATTTTACATCAAAACTGCTGTAATTATTTCTAACACTGCACTTTCCTAAATTACATACACGATTAACTTTTTTATTTTTAACATTATTTATTTTATCTACACGTTTATATCAATTTACTAGAGAGTAATTGTTGGTATTACAATTACAAATCTTAACTTTTCTCATCTTCGCAACAAATTTTCTAAATAGCTTTACAACACACTGAGTAGGAGACATTATCAACGCTTTAAAGCTTGCTACTTTATCTATTCATCTCTAACATGAAACGTAGAACAAGGATTGAAATAAATTCGAGCGCAAGAGTGAAAATATTATAGAGCGTTTAGAGGCATGATGTCCGCGAAAGCAGCCCTCTCACGACTACCTACCCCTATTCCTTTCATTTTCAGTTTAAGCGTATGTCGTTTAATAAAAATTTTTGGTGAATCAACTCTGCGAAATCAGATGTATCTCCCTCAAGCTCGGCGATTCCTTCTCCTTTCAAAGAGACATTGCGTAATCGGATTTTAGCCGAATTGAGCATTTCCAATCCAGCTACTCCAGAGTTTGTCCTGTTCTGTCTAACATGCCTGAAATACCAACATGGGTTTGTGAGGCGGTCGGCTGAAGGAGTTTTGTACAGAAAAGTATGAAGCGCAATGTCCTCTGATGTAAACCTAGTATTGATTCTGAAATGGAGAAAATATAGAGTGTTCGCAATGAGCGCTCAATATAATAATATAATATAATATAATAATAATTGTAAAACTCGCACTCAAATCAAATAAATACTATTACAATAAAATTAAAAAATTATGTATACAGCGTTATGCAAATGATCCGCATAAAATTGAAAACGTGTTGGTAAAATGTTTTTTTTAAAACGCGGGCGCTTTATTCGGCGCAAACTTGATTTACTTATCCATTTCGAGAAATGGAAGAATTTATTTTTTTCGAGAAAGGACGTTACTCTTGTGTTATCGTAAATGGATAATTTTCTGGTGGAACACAAATCTGTTCAGTACATTTTACCGAAGCCGTGAATGTAACGGATGTTGTCATATCTTTATTCGGAATATTTCCACACTATTTGGTATAAGTACATACTTTTAAAATAGGTTTTTTAAAATCGCGGATACGTTTCGCCGTTCTTTAATAAAATGTAATTTTTTTATTGGTTTTACAAGGAAGTTGGTTGTTCAATTTGTTTAGCGTACACACTACTTCCGATATCTTTTTTTTATTTTCGCAATGTTGACGCACATCGATAAAAGTTTGCCGAGGACTCCATGACATAATTCCCTGTCTTCTTTCTTCAGTGGTTTCTAGATAGAATATACGAAATTCTGGAAATCCGCTGCAGATGTCAAGTGGTCTACAAAAATGATTCTTTGCAATTCTCGTCTTGTTGATTATCTACCCGCTGAATAATTAAAGGCTCAATATCATTTTCTAAAAGAACACTGTAGATCTGAACACTTAAATTTCCATAAATAAACCAAGGTCCACATAAAGCTTATCCAAGGATTCCAGCCGAAATAAGCAGTTTTTTTTGTATAGAACTTGGAAACAAGGAATATTTCCTAGTTGAGATACAATACTAATATCACATCTGGCTATAATTTTCTCTCAGCATTGTAGTTCTATTTAAAAAACTGTACAGTTTTCACTTTTGTTAGAAGAAATTGTACAATGTCGTTGCTACTGTTAATGTGATGATGTGTGATCGCTAATGATCAATATATTTCCAGCTTGTATTCAGTGTCTTAAAAGTTGACTTTATTCACTAAAATTTTTAACTATTCTCGACGCTAAAAAAGATTTTCTTGCCATCATCTTGATGGAGAAAGTTGAACTATATGTACTTAAAAATATCTAAACAAAAGCGCAAGTTCAATTGAACCATCGGAAATCCGCACGAAATAGTTGGTACCTACTTACTTTTGTGCAAGTCAGATCGACCGGCTGAATGTAATCGAGCAATTATTAAAAAGTGTGATATTTAGTTGCCAACTTTTCATCACACTTTAGAAAAGTAAAGAAAAACGCCGAAGTTGTTGCCGCTCTCTGAATTAACGAGTTAAAACTCATCTGTTAATGAGTTATGTTATTTATTAAAGCTTTACAACAGCCGAGACTTTACAACAGCCAGTATTTCACAGTAAAATGTTAGAAAAAAACGCGGTTTTTCTGTTTAATTAGAGACAGTGTTGCTTAGACATATTGACCGAAAAGTGAAGAAACTCCAGATTTCAAAAGTTTTCCAAATAAATGATTATAAACTTTCGCTTTTTCAGTTCGGGGAAATATTTTTGAAAAAAGACCCAGAAATAATTATGTATTAGGATTTTTTCCAAAACTCGAAGCTGCAAAAAATTTTCCAACAATTTTTGCAACGTGGTTAAGGAGGCGAGTGTTCCAATAAAATGTGTCTTATAATTTTTCACAGAAAATACCTGAAAATTATCAGTTTCAGTGAAGCTAAAAAATAATACGAAAACTCGAATGACCTGAAAACTCAAAGGAACTTTATGAATCTTCAGGGCAATGAGGGCGGCGAATTTTCCAGATAATTTTTTGTAGACTTTTGCTCTGGTCGTTTTTTCAAGAGAATCCTAATTATTTTCTGCAAAAAATGAATTTATTTGGTTTTTGTGCCAATTTTGAAGCCGAAATGGGTTTTCTAAAGGTCCCTGCAAACAGATGAATAAGACGAATTTTCCAGCAAAAATAATTTTGTAATTTTTGGTTGAAAAGACGCCATTATTGTGAGGAAAGAAGAAAATCGCCAGAAAATAACGGTTTTTTGCGTTTTCGGTTGAAAACTTTTAGTTTTGTGATCGGTTTTGTGGAAACCTTAATGGTTTTCGGGGAAAATGGGAGGAATTTATTTTCGTTTTGCTATAAATGTATCTTGTAATTTTTCGACTCCTTCGATTCTTCGACATTTTAAGACCTCCAGATCCTCAGTAAATAAGTAAAGCAAAAAAATTCAGTCAAAACTAAAAAAACATATTTTTTTAACAAACTCTACATACTTTAGAGGTATGGAGGTGACGAGATTTCTAAATAAAACTTTTTCAAAGCGAAAATACTTTAAGATTATCAGCAGTTTTAAGTGAAACTTTATAAAATTGAGCATTTAGAAGAAAGAATAACTAGGCTAAAACTGGAAAATTCTGAAATTTTGAAGAAATTAAAAAAATATTGCTAATAAATGGCCCTTAAAATACATCTAAAAACAAATAAAAAAGTCTTCAACATTTTCCCAGCAACAGAACTGAGTTACTGCGCCGGTGCGTTGGGTTGGCGCACCGAGCCATATGTGTAGCACTGCGCCAAGCCTACTCTTAAAAATTCACTGCGTTACCCAGGCCTGATCGTAACATTCGCTTACGCAGAGAAAGGTTTCTAGTGCGGTTGCACCGTATTTTGCGCACCATTACAGCATACATTACATGCACAGTATTTTGTATATTGACTTAGCAATTTCAGTACGCTCTCCAAGATACTTGTACTTTGTACTTATCTATCTTTGGACCGGATTTCGTTTTAGATTTTCATAGATTTTATTACTATTATACTTCATTCTATTTATATTTTTATGAAAATATGATTTTGCTTCTGTTAAATTACCCACTAACCTGGTATTATTATATTATTTCATTTTTAAAAACATTTTAAACTAAAAAGACCATTTTAATGCGATTGAGTACCTACACGTAGCAACGTATTCGGATTCGAACGTTAGGATTAGACTAGGAATAGACTAAGAATAGATTAGGGAACGAGTAGGTACTTGAATGATCGTTCTATAATTTGGCTTAGTATTCGTTACTTCGGATCCACATGTGTAACAAGTACACAAGTACCGAATGGTTACTTCTTTCCCATCAATATAGTCTTGGTTACCGTTTGACATGCTTTACTGCGCTTTGACTACGACCGTTTCAGTTTCGGTTCAATCTCGTCGTTTGTAAGCCATTTCTCATCCTCAGTAATCATCCGTTCAAGAAATAGTCCGATTTTTGCATTTTCAATTTTGCTCATTTTGAAAGACAAGCGTCTGATTTAAAATAATAGAAACGTATCATGTATACAAATAAAATGAAATAACCTGAGAGCGGGTGTTAAAAACATCAACTGCCAATTTCAGGTACAAGTGAAGCTGTAAACTATCGCTGCACAATTAACACCAAGCACTATATTTATTAAGGGATCTCTTATTTTTATACTTAATTGCGCAGACGTATATGTCAAGATACCACTCACTTTATGCTAGATTTTATTGACTTCAGCTATCAGAATCATAAAAAACAGCATTAACAATTTGATCCGTCTGGGTTGCAATTTCGCGTTTTTCAGAGACACACTGTAAAGTATAGCGAACTTTATCTTCATTCTAACACTCTGTAACTAACAAATTAATGCAGCAAACAAAAAACAGCTGAAACATTTTACTAGTTAAAGTGCAGTTATAATTTAGCCGCTAGTAGGGGCGTGGACGTGGCGGAACTCGCGAATAGTAGCAAAGAAAACTCCCACCTATCAAAAACAGTATATTTTTACGAACATACATATTGAATATCTGCCTATATCTACTATACAAAACGAATTGGTGAACTGGTGGCTAAGTTTAACACACCGTTCAAACATCGGAAAAAGATATTTTCGAAGACTATTTCTTATTTTTACTTAAATCGTCATGCTTACTAACAAAATGTGATCATCACATATGTATGCTTTTCATTTTCCCCAGCAGCAAAGACAATACAACTCATAGCATATTTTGTTCTCATCAATAATTATATCGAGCGGATCAGCATTTGGTTATGCTGAGTAATCACCACTATATTACAGCATTCTTTAATAATTCGTTACTGCATGTTATAAGGTGGTGGTTGGTGATATCCTTGAGGGTTCATTTGCTGGCGTTGAAGATGAGCCACAAGAGCAGGATTGGGCTGATTACCACCCGGACCTCCTTGCTGTTGTTGCAACGCCATAATCTAAAAATTAAAGTAAAATAAATGAAAACATTCAAATATTTCTAACAGCGTGTGTCACAAACATCTTGCATTACATAGGTTTAGGTTGGCGCATAGGTTACAGTCATTGTCTTGAGATTGTTCAGGGACTGTGTCATACAATACAATACAATACAAGGCTCTACAACCCAGGGTGGGTATTGGCTGACTGCACTATGCTCATCCAGGCCTCCAGATCCTCCAAGGATCGTGTTCAGAGGGATATTCATTTTTATGAGATTTGCTTTGATGTTGCCTTTCCATCTCTGGCGTGCTCTCCCAAGTGGCCTTTTTCGGGGCTCACTTGGAGAGTAGGAGAAAAAGATTGAATTTTTTTTCCATAATTTTTACAAACAGTCGAAAACCGAATTTCAACTTTGGTATTAAGTATTATTTTGAAATGGTCCCATGTTTGATTGGTAACTTATTGAAATACTTAAGCAATGCAAGCAAGAAAAATGTTCATCTTTGAGAGCAGGAGTTAATTAACCGCATAAGAGAAGCTGCTCAAAACGTGAGCCCCGACTGCAGCCAAGAGTGCACAGTAGTGATTGGGACACATGTTTGGAGTTAAACGGGCTGAACTTCGAACACCTCATTTAACAAACTTTATTTTGTTTTATTTGATGTGGTTATGACTCTGTGCAATTGATGTTGTCGTTAAAATCTGTGGCGGATCCAGGTATATCACTCTTCTGCCCGAAAATGGTTGGCAGCACTGGCGGCAAAGGGACAATGTTATCCTAGCCTCGGAATAATTAATTGCCCCTTTTACTTGCTCCGTTTGGTATTTACCGATGGTTACTGCAGTTTGTAATAATTAAGAAGCAACAAGTATTTACGTAATGTTAATGAAGCAATATTAAAATGATCTTATTAAAAGACAAAAACACTTAGGAACAAAATAGGTCTCTACTGCAAAAACGGAGTAGTCGGGTATTATCAATAGTTATTGAAGTTGTAAGCGACCTTAGAATTTTATTTGTTCTTTCAATAGTCGTCGCTCGACTATTCTTACCTGTTGTCTCATCCTTTGTTGTTGGAATGGCGTCTGCTGACTTTGGACGCTCTGTTGCATGACTTGCCCTGGTCTGGAATAAGGTGGTGCGGGTCCGCCTAAAACGTACCAAAATAAACTTTTGTATACCATCATTCGAAAATTAATATACCTTGTGACCCCATTCCTCCCATAGCACCCATATTTGTATTCATCGTTACATTAGGGGCTTGCTGCAAATAAGGTGCTCTGGGATTCCCTGCCATTTGTCTAAAGTCTGGCTGAGCTGGTCTCGGTTGACCAAAGCCTTGTTGCTGACCACCAAACATATTTGCTTGAGATGCTGAACAAAAATGGTCATTGTTAAATAGATATATTGACTTATTGTAAAGATGTATGAGGATGTAAAAGATCCGAACTTCACTACACATTAGACCAAACGACCGATAATGTCGACGCCGGATTATCAAATCGGGTCCCGGATAAAATCTTACTTGTTTTACAATAAGCCTTTAATTTTTTTAACTTGTGTGTGCGAAGTTATTTTCTGTCTAGGAACAATTGTCTCGGACATGAGTTCACCAAACTACAAGGTTTTATTCTGATTTTAGTAAGTTTTGCAAATGGCACGTGCTCCTTAAGTTGAAAGCTAGAGTCTGAAATGTGACATATTAAGCTGTCTACCTTCAAGATATTTGATGTTGTACTTGGTCTTTTTGACACAAGAACCGGTACAAATCGTACTGTGTTACTTACCATCTGGTAGAGCTTGAAAAGGTGCCATGCGTAAGCATTTTTTGTTTCTTCATATAATTGGAATAACTTTAAAAATGAATAAAAACGAAAAAAAGAAAGAAAAAATGGAAAATCACTTTTTTCTAAATGTCTCAAAGATTTAAAAAAATTATTAATTTTCGAAAATGCTACGTATATGGCCGCCCTAATTGTGCTACTTTTTCCTAATTTACCCGACTTCGTGAGTCTGACGATTTATCTTGGACACCCTATCTACTTCCTGGCATTTCTTTTCCCAGTTTCGGGTTTTTGCTTCTATTTGGTTATATCTATACCGGGTGTTTGGTAAGTAGATGCATTCCTTGCAGGGGGTGATAGTGCAAGTAAATTTGGATATATTTCGTTAATAGACCAGGTTCCGAAAACCATTAGTTTCCGATCTACAGGGTGTTAAAGTTTTAATTAAAAAGATGTTATTTATTAATATTTCGGAAACCGCTTGGAAGATTACAATGAAATTTGACAGGCTTAGTCAACTAAGAACAATACGCGTTTTGTGATGAAAATATTGTTTCTATCTTTTACAGTGGCGTGGGTACAGGCACGTCTGTAGATAATTTTAAATAGAAAAATGTTACACCACTGATTTTTCTAAAAATAAATAATATTTTTCAAGTTGCTGTTCAATTTAAACAAATTAAAATCGATTTATTGCAAAGCTTAATCGGGTTGTAGTTAAGTATGGTTTAGTATAAAAAGACAGCAAAAATTGCGCAATTAGATTGTATCAATTTTATTACAAAACTTATTACTAGCCGCAGTTGACATCAGTCTTGCATAAGAGTTTTTTATTTGTTTTTTACCTATTAGATTAATTTACCTGTTAATTAAAATTTTACTTATTCTTAGTATTGAAATGAGCACCAAGCTTGCTTCTATACGGAAAAAAATTTGGTATTTATTAATTCTTAACTACTTAAGATCTTGCTCAAAATGAAGCCCCTTTCTCTAACGCATGCATGTGCTTGCCTTCTTACTTCTGTCCGGGTTACCCTGGTCGAAAATGTATGTCTAAGTGTAATAATTCGTCCGTTGTATGTATTTCTCCGGCATAAACCAACTCTTTCATCCTACCCCATCGCGAAAGTCTAACGGAAAAGATCTGGGCTTCTAGCTGGCCACAATATGGAGCGTCCTCTCCCCATCCATCGATTAGGAAAACGCTGGTCAAGGTACTCCCTTACAGTTTGCTCCTACGTGAATTTGCCTACCTTGTACTTTTCCTGACTCACTGACCTTTCGATAGGTGTTTACAAAGACACGGATATTTGGAAGCCGCCACTATTTCTGTCGTAAAGTCCATAAATGTAAAGAATATCTGCGTATTCAGCATTGAAAAACTCAGCCATTTCAACAAATAAAGTTTCAACTTATGTGAACTTATTCTCGAAATATTACTTATACTCGAAATTACATAAATCGCAAAAAGAAGGCGACAACTAAAGTTACTCAGACACTCGAAATTACAGCAATTATTACTTTCGTCAATCAGTGACAAAAACTAGTGCAGAGCCAACTTAATAAATCGATTTTAATTTGTTTACTCGCAAACGGGACGTCGTAGAAAACAAGTCAAGAGACTTTTTCTCTTCCAAATTGAACAGAAACTTGAAAAATATTATTTACTTTTAGAAAAATCAGTAGCGTAACAATTTTGTATTTAAAATTATCCACAGACGTGCCTGTAGCCACGCCACTGAAAAAGATAGGAACAACATTTTTATCGCAAAACGTATATTGTTCTTAGTTGCCCAAGCCTGCCAAATTTCATTATCATAGTCCATGCGGTTTTCGAAATATTAATAAATAACATTTTTTTTATTAAAACTGTGACACCCTGTAGATCGGAAACTAATGGTTTTCGGAACCTGGTCTATTAACTAAATATATCCAAGATTAATTGCACTATCACCCCCTGCAAGGAATGCATCTACTTACCAAACACCCTGTATATTGGCTTTTTACTGTGGTTGTTTCGTATTCCACCATCTGTGAAACAACTTTTCCTTTCGTTTCTTGTTTCCACCAATAATTCCTCTCTCTGGGTCTGCTTTCCTTTATACCTAGGCATCATTGTACATACATACCTTGCATAATTTGAGGATTGCTTTGCATGCTACCCTGTGGCATCTGAGTGTTTCCTCCAAAATTTCCGTATTGGTTGCTCATCCCAGGTTGCATGTTGCCATATTGATTTGGAAAAATAGCCTGTAAACATTAAAAGTCGATTTTCGATTTCAAGTTTTTCGGAAACGGTTGTTGTCGTACTTGATTTGACTGCATGTTACCAGGGTGCTGCTGCCTCAGTGTCTGCCTTGAAAATCTTTGCATATGACCATATCCCGGAGCTGGTCCACCTGCTGCTGGATTATTCGGAATTCCCGGCATACCGTAGTTATTAATAGGATGTCGCTGACGCAGCATGTTTGATAGAGCCTGTTTTGATGTATTCAGCGGTGGCCTATCAAAACGACTTCCTAAGGGTTAAAAGTTTATTTTTACTTCTGCAGTAAATGTATGTAATCAGTAGCAATTAATAAACTTACCACTCATAGGGGGATAACCGTAAGGTTGCTGAGCGCTCTGATTTTGCCCATACCACTGTTGACCAGGGTTAGTGCCATATTGCTGTCCAGGCTGCATGCCTAAAAGTAAGCAACAGAAATGTGTTTAGACGGTTCGAAAATATTCTTAATTATCGATCTTAATATTTCTATCATTCTTGAAAGTATTTTCAGGAGTTGCCTATAGATTAATCAAGGAGATATTACATCACGTCCTCGCGTCATATAAAGCGAAAGAGACCGGGAAGTTAATTAACTAATTTCAGCGTAAAACAGATTGCGAACTTGTTTCTGCTATTTAAGCGGTTAAAATGTATTTTACATTCACTTATTAAAGTTAGTGTAAAGAGCTTAGAATAGGCGCAAATTGAGGTGCGAACGACACGCATGAGACCATCCACAAGAGCGTTTGAACAGAACTCGTTTCACGCGTACCGCCGTGATCCGCATCTTGCGACGCAGTGCATGTCAGTTTCAGTTATATCACATTGCAGTCAATATAAATGATTTAAAAAGGCAAAAGATGTAAATCACCAAATATTCCTTATTAGTTAACTGATTAACTCTTTGCTTTGCTGATTTCAAATAAGTTCTACAGATTTCATGCTGCACTAAACACATTTTCTTCTTTTTTTTCAGATAGCACCACGCAGCTCTCGGTAAACTTAGCATTACTTTGCCCCTGATTGTACATACAGAACTTTTAGTCCCATGTTCATCAATTGAATCGTACGGTGAATTTCGTATCGATTGAGCTGTTGGTTCTTTCGTAGTTCATTTTTAAACTTTGGGAATATTTTGGGCAGCTTTGTATTTTTACATCAAGCTCATCCTCAGCTTTTCGCTAAAGAACCGCTTCAGGTGTAGAAATTTGGTTTCCATTATTCAATACAAGAAGCATCGGCTTACTAACAGTGTGGATTTGGTTCCGATTAAACCATTGATTCCTGCCCAATAAATTCGCAAGCTTTCAGAATATATCTAAAGAACCGTTTCGACTACGCAAATATGGGTCCAAGTTTTGTTTTTTTTTTGTCAAAAAAGGCAATAGTTTTATTTTTTCCTTTTTTTTTCTCAGATGTCAATCTTTCTAGTTTCCTCCATATTTTGGAAGTTGCAATTTTTTATTGCTTTAAGATCTGCAGTCGCATAAAACCAGCATTTTTTTATGCTTAGCGTTTAACCCATGAGCGGATTAACACTTCGTGGCTCGGGGCTGGAATTTTAACATATGATCAGATACTCTTCATTGCCAAACTTACCAGGATTTGGTCCATATGCGCCCAATCCATGCGGCATTTGAGGATTGTTCCCTTGAACGCCAATTCCCATACCCGGAGGCCCCTGACCTATGGGGTTATGACCCATAGTCATAGGACTCATAGTGACTGGTCCTGATTTAGGCTTCCGCTTTCGCTGGCCCTTTCCTCTTCCTTTACCCAAAGCTACAGGACTTTGATCGACAGACGATGGAGTGTCGGCTTTCAGATTGGAATCCTGTTATTTTTATTACGATTTAATAATCTAATCAATATAATAGAGTAAAATAAAGTTGACGTATAAAATAATCACACATGCTAAGAAGTTTTAAAAGACCCAATTTCATCTAGTCATTTTTTAAAACATTAGTATTTTATTCATAGTTACCCTGATCTATTCAAAGGCAGTAGAAGTCAGTTTATTAAACAGGATTTTATTTAACGAGTTTTACACACATTGAGCACGCATTTCTTGGACGAACGCGGAGATTAATATAACGTTTACTTTTGACCGAAATTATGTAGGTTGGGAACACGGAGTTCAAATATGTGGCTTAATTAATTCTTAAAAAAAAATATTTCAATCTGATCTAACTTTTACTTAGATAAAATGTCTGGCTCCTCTACTATTAATGGTCAAAGTTCTTAAAAAATATTTTTTTGAACGGAAGACTGGTACGATGGATTTTGGGTTTTCAAGACTCATGTTTTGGTAAAGTAACCGAGTTTATCCGCTTTGGGCAAATAAGGAAAGTATCTCGGTTCAAAAACTACCAGAACTTTTTATTTGGAAGCTGAAATCCACTGATTTTTTTTTGAGTTGATGCACTAATCCGTTTTGTAATTGTAAAAATTTGTGTACCAAGACACTCAAGAATTCCTCACTTGTCTAAAGCCGTTGGACTTGAGTCTTACATAAGAAGAAATTCAAAGCCAGTTTTATTAAAATGCATCGCATCATCCGCCCGACATAATTTTTTTGAAGAACTTTGACCGTCAATAACAGAAAAACCAGAAATTTGTTCGTATTAAAAGTTAGGCCAGATCGAGTTTATTTGAGCCAAACAATGTCGCAGTACCCTTTTGATCATAAGCTTGTATATTGACTATCGTAGCTTGACCCTGTATATTGACTACCGACTTTCGGTTCAAGATACGTCAAAGAATTAATCTTTCTTTAGAAGTAAATGGTAAGCAGTAAAAACATTCGCGGTGATGAGAAGCGCGATAAGAATTAACTGAGTTACAATTTTAAGCAATGTATTTTAAGTAATGTAATACCAGCCACTCGTGTTTGTTTATAGAATGGAAACAGAACTCTCTAATGGTCGGTGGGGACAAAATTAGTTGAAACAAGTTGATCTGAAGTCCCAGACAGGATCAAGTGTAATTTTCGGTTATACAAAATTCTTTTAAATTTGACGCATTTAGCTTGTATTTAGAGGAACAGACATTTTTTGTCAATCAAGTATTCAATGTATGCAAAGCATATTTTCATATTAAAAAAAACTTACTGGTTTATCCGCGATAGGTTCCAAATCTTCTGGCGGTAGAGGAGGTGGATCCAAATAATACATTGATGGTTTTTGTAGATTATGAGTATGGAACTTAAGCAGCCTGTGAGTATCTTCACCCATCAGTGGCTTTCGCTCTAAACGAACCGCACCAAACCATGCCCATGATAAAGGTGGGGGATTCTTCATTCCTTCTAAAATATCCCAACTACTGACTCGTTGTTTGTCTGAAATCTACCAAAAGTCATATTGATTAATTGAACAGATTCAATGGACATCAGTTCCTTACGGATAAGTCGTGCTTCTTATCAACGCTGTCGAAGCTTATTTTGTACCCTTTGCTGTCAGTTAGACAACCGGTTGGCTCTACCCCAATGATCTCCGTAGTGACTCTGGGTAAGGGCAAGAGTTGTTTGATGTGCATTAGAGAAACATTTTGCCTCTCACCGATTTCTTTCTTTATTTTTTTCATTAGATTTTGGTGCATCTTTTTTCCATCATCCTATAAATAATTCGATATTGTTCAGAAATTTTCAATTGCCAATTTGATGTCATACAATACATTGTATTGATACGCAAATATTTATCGATTGACAGAAGGCTCAGGTCAATATTGATATGGAATTCGAGGTATTTTTCTGGGATAAAACATTTCAATTTAAAGAAAGAGAACGATTGGAAAGTTAAATAAGAATATACTGATATAAAAATGAGATGTAATTTTATATATGATTTTTTTCGACAAAACACCTTTATCCGACCTACAGGATGGATGATATGAAGTGTCCTTTAACTTAACTGATAGTTTATTATATTATTTATATACGTTTAAACGCAACATTTATTCTACGTTGTATAGAAAAGAAGTTATACGCCATGCAATCCAAACGTAACTTTCTTTCTTTCAAGGAGGTAGAAGTTCAGCACACCTTTTCTATGACGCACTGTCCGAGTAATTGGAGGAGACCGTCCCGTATAGACTTTGGAGTTCCTAAAGGATTCACTCTCATTTCAGACTTTGTTCTAAAAAACCTTCCTCGACTGAAAGGAAATGCACTTTGACACATGTTTTATTACCTCTTTCCTTGGTCAAACCGACAGTTCGGTGGGGGCGAAAGGTTTGACAAATAATATAACAAATTTACAAAAAAAAAACAAATAATCTCTTGCAAAATGACATATCACGACAACCTTCTCAAGAAGGAGTTAGACCCAGACTTAGAAGGTCAAAAATTGAATCACCGAATATTGGCACAACAGGAAACAAACTAACCCATCAGAAACTGAACACGGACGAATTGACAGATTGCCCAACCAATAGAAACACTCTCGTATCATCGTATACACGGATACATGAGACACAGGCTTATACGCTTTGAAAACGATTTGGTTATAAATATTTTGCTTTTTCATAATGTGTAAAAGCAAAAAGTTTAAGTGTTAAGAAAAATACCCGTCTACTTGAATTGTAGTGATATGATAATTATGTTACTACTATACCTGAGTATCTGTAGCTAATGCAGAATGAACTAGCGTAGCTAACATATCGATGACCGTTGTGAACAATTCATTATTGGTGTGGAGATCTATAATCCCATGAGTAACCAGCTGAACAAGCAGTAATGCCCAATCTGTTGTTGCGGAGCTATTTCTTTGAAACGCCTGTAGAATTGATATTATTTGCATTGGTATAGATAGATAAAGTATTTTTCTCACCTCGAAAACTCCCCCCACTAAGGCGAATCTAAGTTGAAGGCCATCTAAAGTTCTGTCACTATGGCACGTATCTTGGAGATTACCTTCTTTCGCTTGTTGCACCAACTAAAATATATAACAAATATGACAAGTGATGCCTGATCATTAACCAGGTCTACAAATCTAACCTGTGTCAATTGCTGATGTAGCGACGATAAAAGACCCTCTTTTTGGCCTTCTTCTTGTCCTTTCAGACAAGTCAACACTAGACTAAGAAATGGCTGATGCGTCAGCATACTTTGACTTTCTCCTGTATTCCGTTTTGCCATAGGTTTTTGATCTTTACAATGCCATCCGCCATTATCCAAAACTTGACCAGCTACCTAAAAAATACGTATGTTTGTGGTATTGGCTTGGAAAAATTAGTCAGATGTAAACTTACTTTAAGCACCCGACCTTGAATTGCACCTGATAATTTGGCAATTAATGGAGCAACTAACCAAATAGAACTAGTTTTACTTCGCGGCTCCTGCTTTTTAGTATCTTCAGATCTCGTATGATTAATAGATGGTGCATTTAATTGAAACACATCAATGGCTGCTTTCGCTACAGTATCTAACCATTGAGATAGTTCAGGAGTATTTACGCTATACTGCTTGAACATTAGCTGTAAATCGAGCCAAGACATTCGCAGTGTCCAAAGTTCGAGATTCTGCAATAAATTTGTGTTAACAAAGACAATCCGGTAATTCTGAACACTTTAGAAAGTATCGTGCTTGCACGAGTCATCAGATACTAAACATTTAAAATTCAAAAATTATAGCATAGTCATACCTCAAGTATTCGACTTATCATATTTTTCTGGTCTAACTCATCAATGCTTGAGGCCAACTCTGGATAACAAATCATATGTAATAATCTCTGCGCTTGAGAGTGAGTCAACAAATCGTCCAACAAATTGTCGCTATCGCAAAGCTTTTCTGGGTGGCATAGACACCTATTTTAACAAGACATTAAAACGTTTACGCCACAGTTAAAATAATACTGTTTTTAAGTAGTCATCCTACCTATCGAGAACCCACTGTTGAGAGCAGATTTCCCTCAATACGTGATTGGCAAATGCAGACAAAGAAGCGGTAGCTTCTGGGTTGCCTGTACTAATCTGCCTACGAAACAAAAAATGCAATAAGTATAAAAGCTAGATTTTACAGGCGTCTAATTATCGCTGTAAGTTTTTTTGGAAATTATCGAATTACCGTTTATTAATACCTTTTTTGCCCTATGGCGTTGCTATGGATGAGTGAAATAATCATCAGAACTTGTAAGATAAAACTAATTTAATTTTTTCCTTTAGTTCAATTTTCTCTATGATAGTAAAGCTCTTTAATTCCAATAAAAATAATATAATTTATAAATGATTACTTGTATTTGATTATGTCGTTTTACTCATTTAAATAAATGTTTCATGTTTATGTAAACGTAATTCCGGGTCCAGACCAAGCAGACAAAACATCGACAAAACCGAGACATTCATGTTTCACGACATAGTGGCGCAAATCCTACACATTTCTGCCACATTTTTGTCTCATTGTTACTTTGTTTCCAATTCTGGAGACTTTTGCAGGTCCCGTCTCGACTCAGTAAATATCAAAGAGTCTCTATTTTGTCTATGTATTTTGCGACTAGTTGTCGGCGCAGTGTGCATGGTGTGTGTTGACAAAAGTAGGAGACCAATAAATTAGTGGAAAATCACTCATATTTAGTTCTGTTGTGTTGTTGTAGTGGAGTGAGAAAATTCTTAAAGCTTGAACGCATCTCACCACTTAGTCCAATATCATCCTCACGCAATTGACCTAAAAATGTATTTATGGAATAACTTTCTCGTTTTTTAAGCTTGCTCTCTCCCAAAACGTTTGCGTTTAATTTTTCCAACATTGGATGAAGAGGAGAGACAGATATAACTGGCGGCTAGTAATAAATCTTCATTTTTTTTATTTTCTTCCTGGTGGAAACGCCGCATGGTTAAACTGATTCGCACCGACTGAATTTTTTTGCACATTTGTCCTTGTGGTGTGGACAGTGTTTTTGACGCAAAATCGTATTCACTTTTTGTCTGCTTGATCTGGACCCGGCATTATACTTTATATACAAAATATACAGAAAAGATCTCGTACGCATGGAGATGTTAGAACAATAAGGATGTGATCTTATCCATTTGTTATGCTATACACTGGCTCATGACACTGTACAAAAGTGCTGCACTTATCTCAGAATGACTATGAAAATGGGAAACGAAAAGCGGTACATTCACTTTGGAAAGGTTAGGAAAGCATAGTAAAAGTTACGAAAAATACTGAAAATCGGATCAATCAAAAAATTGAAATAGCAACTTTTATTATGCTACTTGACTCCGGCATGTAAGCGACACAAAGTAAAGGTTGGTGAGACACACAAAGCACAAAAGCGAACGATGAATTTAGATAATAGAAACGTTGATGTTGGGTATAATCCAATGGTTGACGAACCTATGTGTCGTCCGGGTGCCGCATACGTCCATGTTTACCACCCTGAAGATAGGAACGTTAATCAAAAAAAATAAAAAAAACTCCGCAAGAGCAACTTATTACTACTTAACTTATCTTAACTGTTGAACTTTTTTCTTCTACAGATGATCCCAAAACAAAATGATATACAAAGTGTTTCATGCGGAACCGGCATTATTTTAACCACGTATTCTAGGACCTAAAATAACGCTAGTTTGCTATATAAACGAGAGCCCAAAAATGTGTCGTCACGGATTTACAGGGTGTTGAAATTTATTTAAAAAATGCACCCTGCAAATCTGTAACGAATTGTCTTTGAGCTATAGTTTATACAGCAAAGTGGGGTTATTTCGGACGCAGAATACGTGTAAAACTACGCGTTTTCCTCATGAAACACGTTGCATATGAAAACAAAAAAAAATGTGAAAATATGCGGTTATTGGTACGCTGCATGATATTCTTCAGATATTTCTCTCGAAATTGGCTCATATTTGAGCGCTGAAACAAGTACTCCTTTTTTTCAATTTCAATTTCAAATCAGTGAAAAAGCCTAGAAAGCTGTACACAAATTGTATACAAATTTTCGAAACACATAAGGCCCTGCTGCCGCGATATTTGAGGGCTTTCGGAAAAATGCTATATGAACTTGAAACATTAGCTTTTCGTGTAGAATCACCTCCTGATTTTTTTAACATAATTTCCGAGCACCTGTATAATACCATATGAGTGAAATTAAGATAAGTTAAGTTTCAATATTATTCAAAATAAACATATTTTTCCAATCTTAATTGCTTACGGGTTATGTACTTACGGAAGATCAAGACTGGGTCCATCAAGTCCACTATGCAAATCGCTTGTCCCCAAGATATTTGATAAACTGGGTTCAGTGCCCTGTTTCGCTGTAGCATCGCCCACAATCAAAACAGCTTTCAACACTGCCAACACTGGGCCTGTATTAAATAAAATGGTGTATAAAATAAGTAAAAATACATAAATGCGGAGTGTATGCAGGATGCGTCTGCGGTTTAATATGAGGCGACTCTGAGACGTTAAATCATTCATTAAATTGAGAAAGTGCTTCTCTATTTTAGAAGAAATAGGGTCTCTATTGAATGAATCAGCCTAAACTGCATCCCCATTTCACAATTTCCAGTATTTTCGTGTTCAAATTAAATGTTTTCTTAAAATTGGAACCTCAACAACATTGTCCACCTGGCCCTTGCCTCTTATATTTCTTTATTAGATCAAATTCGTATCGGTACTAGGAACGTTAATCTATTGGTTTTCTACTATTGGTTTTCATAAATAAAACGGAAGATCGAAAGTATATAATTGAATCCCTATTATAACCAGCTCAAAAAAATAATTCCTTAATATGTATTCTTGTGTGTCCGTTAAGACAATGCTCGTTACAAATTCTATAAATCCCTTCAAATAAAAAAAAAATGTCAACGAAAAAAATGACTTAATTATTTTACTTACCCACATCAATATTTCGATGCGCTGCCGCTAACAAGTGACGATCGCAACTCAAACGTACACCTAATGGAACTCTTGGAGACGATAGCGGGGGAGATCCCACCGAGTATAGACCAGGTTGGGGTCCCTCGGCAGTCCGAAACAGCCTTAGCAATAAATGACATGTCAGTCGCATACCAGCTTCAGCCAAGCCAGAAGATGAATCTAAGGACTTTACCTGCAAAAATCATAAGAAACGAATCTCATTCACCTATATCATTACCCTTTCATATTGGCCGTATATTAAGAAGATAAACATTAACTGTGCAATCTTGATCGAAACATACTTTTGTATGTGAACTCACTTTCAACAAGCTGGGAAGAGCAACTGTTCTCACAAAATCCTCCAACGAGAAACAATGTCTCGCTATCAAAATACAGGTAAACACGGCTAATGAATTGTGTATATTGACATCCTAAAAAACCAGCATAACATGAAATCATTAGACGATTTTGATATCAACGTTTACCTCAATTTTAATTTCATTGAGAACATCTTTATAATATTCGGGTGGCGATGTTGGGCTGCACAACCCCAGCAAAACTCCTAACCATTCAGATGCCAAAGAATTGCAACAAGCCGTCATTTCGGCACAAAGTATTGCTAAATCGTTTAACCTTTCGTTATCGTTGATTCGGTCAGTCTCTGGTTCCTTGCAGCAAGCCCGAATAATTGCATTAGAAACAAATGAATACCTTAAAATATATAGTATGCGTGAAAATGTGAAATTTGTTACAAGCATCAAGATAAATGACTTTATCATCAAATTTAAAAGTAAAATAAACATAAGAAAAATTATTTATTCATTATAAATGGATTTCTACTGCGCATACCACTAAAAATATACGGGATATGTAAGTGCGCACCATTAGTAACGTTGTTATTAGCCGCGATAGAGCTTTGATTTAAATTGCAAATAGTTGTACCTATATTTTTAAGCTGGTTGAGATGGTGGTACTAAAAAACGATAGAACACCGCATTTTAAAAATAGTAATGTTTCCTGCCTTTTTGCTAAATTAACTTCGTCAGAAAAATTTAAAAAAAATTGTTTTAATAACTCGCTATAGCGCTGACTAGTTACGGTTCCCTGGTAAAAAAAATGGTCCTACTATTCGTTCAAAAGTCCAGACGTCCCCTGGTGGTTAAATTTATAACTACAAATTAAGTAGTAATTTGACACTTGTTTTGTTGACATTGGTGTTTACATCTGATTGTTATTTCTTTGCTTTGTTCTACTCAACTTCTGCAAGCTTTCAAAGAAATAGTAAGAGATCGAAAAGTATGTAAGTATTCTTTTATGTTATAAATGTCGTCAACTCTGTCAAGGTCTGACAAGTCTCAACTGTCACTCGACAACGAGTAATGTGACGTTTCGCAGCGCCACTATCGGTAGTTGAACTCGTGAATACGCTCGGGTAGTTAGAAGAAAAAAGAACTTACTATTTTAAAAACCTATCATTTTAGGACAAAAATGTTACTAAAGCTTTTTGTGCAGAATTAAATTGACTTCAATTTTGTGCACTAATATACAGGGGGTTCAACTTAAAACAAGTGTTTCTCATTACCTTTACAATGCGACGTTCAATTGTTTTTTAGTATCATCACAACCAGCGTAAAAAATACAACTCTTTGCCATGTAAACCAATACTGTATCTCTAATAATAATAAAGTTACCAATGGTGCGCACTTAATTTGATATAGCCTGTATATTAATTTTGCCACTTTAACTTTTAACCAAGAACATAATCTCAGAGGTAATTTTGGACTAAAAAATAATCATACCTGTTACTCGGACTTTCATTCAATTGCTTCGCCCATGTACTTTCTATTCGTCCTATTCTGCGAGGATTCTTAAAAACCTCTTGCATAAACTGAGAATTGAATACATATGTACTACTAGTTGGCTGCAGTACCAAACTGCTGTAGAGGGCTTGTTTAATCTTCGGATAAGCATTGCCAAATGGCTCAACCGCATGGGGTTTTGACTTAAGTAAAATGCACGATGAATACAAGTCATACAGATGCGCCAATATGCAACGTTCTGCTGAGCTGCAATCTCCAGGATTCGTGACATGTTTTACAACTTTGCAGAGACCTTCAAACACTGCAGACGTCTGATCAGGCGATACTAAAATAATAGATAAGTTCTATATTGTTGAGGCGGATTCATTTTTACAAACTTCTTTTTGGGTATTTCGCCTCAAAAATTTTTGTCTTTAAAAAAGACAGAATTTCCTCA